CAAAGCCTCAGGTTGACAACAGCCAGGAAACCAATCCAACCAAAAAGGTGAACTCAGCAAAATGTAGGGACTTGCTTATAGCAGTCTTCCTCCAGTGTTGGAGATTAAACACCCAAGAAATTCCAAGGCAAGTGTAGAAAGCAAGTTTTATTTAAGTAAGGGACAGAGACAGCAGACTTCTCCGAAGAGTTGGGTGTCTGTGGGAGTGGGTGTGTCTCGCTTTGTTTTAGACCCCAGAACCCCGCCCCCACCTTCTCTTTCTTCTCCATGTTCTTGCCTATGGGTAGGAAGGAGCAGGAACTGAGAGGATCATCTTAGCAACCCAACCAGCCCTCATCCTCTCAACCCCCATCATTCATTATCTACACTGACTGCCAGGCCTCAGTTTGCTGAGGAATATGACATATCCTGACGATGCAGGCCAGGTGGGGCTGGAGCAGATTGCTTTTTGGCAAAGAAAGCACATGGGGAATCAGCTCAGTGGGCTCATTTTATAGAAGTATTCTCTTAACCTCTGATCCCACCATCCTCATCTATGTATCCCCGTACATTACTAGAAAGATAATAGGCTCTGTCGTAGAAGTCTAAGGCAAAAGAATGTGTATGAGCCTAGGGAGGACCAGAGCAGAGGCTGCAGAGTCATGCAGGGTTTCTCCCTCACTACATGTATCTTGAGAGAGACAGTGTGGCTTTCAAGCTTTTGTGTTAGTCAGCGTTTCATCACTGTGACGAAAATGCCTGACTAGAACAACTTAGAGGAGGAAAAATTGACCTTGACCTCACAATTTCACAGGCTTAGTCCATGGTCAGTCAACTCCGTCACTCTGGGCTTGAGGTGAGGCAGAACATCCTGACAGAAGGGAAGGTGGAGCAGAGCTGGGAGAGTGAGGAAAGCAGAGACAGAGTGAGTCAGGGACAAAATATAATCCCCAAGGCCCGCCCTCAGTGACCTACTTCATCCAGCCATGCCCTACCTGCATACAGTCACCACCCAGTGATTCATTCCAATTATTAATCCTCAAATGGATTAACCCACTGATGAGGTTACAGTTCTCAAAATCTAATCAGATCTCTTCTAGACATTCCTGCATTGTCACATGAGATTTTGGGGGACACTTCATATTCAAACTGTAACAGCTTTCCAACCAATAGCTTCAGTCACGTAAGAGAGACCCTGACCAGATGTTCTCTCTGGTGAAAAGTGAGGAAACACCAGGAAGTGATCCACTTGTCCGGCTTAGTCATGTGCTCACCCAGGGAGAAGCAGGCCTGTCCAGTTGAGTCAGAGCTGAACAACACAGATGGAGTAGAAGCACAGTTCCTACAAACAGGTAGCCCATTGGGCTGATTAAAACAATAGGTATCCATAACAACAGCCATTGCCTAGCTCTAATGAATGATTTTCACAACAGGTTGAAATACTGTTGGAAGGAATCACAGAGCTGTTGTCACTGAACATTCGTCCATGTGACCCTGCCTGCTCAGTTTCCAAAGCCCCGGTGTACCTCTCTATCTGGAGGAATAGGCTCTCTGCCCACAGATCCAGGGACAGACACATGAACTCTGTCCAGAAAGTACTGGCTTTGCTCCAGGAAGGAGTCTCTCAAAGTCAGTGCACACCAAACACCCAGGAAAAGGATCAGACTGGATTGTGTGTAGACAGAGCAAAAGGAAATGAATGGATCAGAATAAGATTCCGCCCTAACTAGCCTGGTTATTGGTTCCTTTGCATGATGCCAGAAGGGTCTGAAGAGCTGACTCCAGGGGAAAGACTTGTTCCACACTGTGTCCTCACTGCAGAAGCGACAGTAGTACAAACCCCAGCTTCTAAGGATTAGGAGCAGCATCCTCACTAAGTCTGTGGGAAAGACTGGGGCTCTGAGTTCCTTGAACTTAACCCCCTCCCTCTGAGACTCTGTGACCTATCCAGTATCCTTCTGTACAAACTCCTTCTCTGCTTAAATCAGCTGAAGATGGCTTCTGGGACTTGCAACTGGGACCTGTGACCCACACATTATCATAGAGAAACTGAGAGTGACCTTCATTTGTGAATACTCCATATGTTCCTCCAGTGAGCAGAAGGCAATTAACAAGACTCAACAGTAATTCACTACAAATAAAATGCCCTGTGTCTCGGAACACTCACAAGCGCAGTGGATATCTGAACATCAATATGGGTTGATCAGGAAAAGAAGATGCTGTCGTCTGAAATCTCTAGATAGAATTCAGATGAGAGACCATGAGGGTGTGGGTGGTGGAAGGATACATGTGAAAATAAAACACAAACTCAGTTCATTACTGTATTTGCATTTAGGAAAGTCTTTGGTGTCAGCATGTATGTATGCCACTGTGTTTTCTACAATCTGTGCAGTTTTTATATCATATCCTCATTGAAACGAATACCTCAGTATCCTTAAGCAGAATCCATTGCACCTTGTTTACCACATAAATTCTGTAGGCCCATAAAATATGGAAGAAATGATATTCAAGCTATTACTTTTAAAGAATCTCTGGCCCTGAACAGTTGCCAGGGTTGTTCGGGTAGTCCAGGAGAGGTTTCAGAAGCAGGCCTGCAGGCTTCTTCAGCTTTGGTGATTATTCTCCAGGGCATCATGACCAAGACACTGTTATTTAGAGGAAGGCCATCCCTCTCCTTATCCTCCTAATAGGACACCTCAGTCCTTGGGGTGGGGAAGCTTCAGCTGGAGCCCAAACGTCCAAACACCCAGTACTGTTTCTGTATTCATCACTGCATAGAAATGACAATGCTGAATAAAAGTGATCACAGGACTCAAAAAAAGCACCAAAGACACCAACTGCCACCCTCTTGTTATCCCACCCCCTCGGTGCCTCTTGCTTGCTCAGGCTCTTGGGGAAAGCTGGCTTTCTGAGACTCTAAAATCTTGTCTCTAATTAACCCCTATAAAAAAAGCACTTCTGGATCATTAAGTAGGTAGAAAGTTGGGAGAGAGATGAAAAGTTTTTACACCCAAAAAAAAAAAATTCCTGCTTTGTCTATCACCCCTCCCATAGACTTTAATAGGTATAAGAAAGCAGCCTCTTGAAAACTGAACCCAAATATCATCATAGCTACCTAGGAGAAGACATTACCTGGGCACTCATACATTTCAGGATGAATAAGCCCCAGAAGGTAGGCTGAAAACCCTCTGCATTTGCACCTCACTGCTCCACGAGAATGGGAGAAATCAGGTCAATCACCCCTGAAAATTAAAAATGTATGCTCTACCAGGAAAGAACATCCCTGCAGTGACTGTCCCAATTATGCCTCATTAAGATGGCCCACAGAGGTCATGCTGGTCAGGATCAGTTTTAGATCAATTCTCAGCATCACCTGGACACTCAAGATCTTATCTTCCATCATTTGTTTTTCACTTCTCAAGGGCGAGAAAAAGGAAAGAACTAAACATATCAGTTCACTCACTCAAGTATTCATCATGAAGCCGTATTTCTCAGCTATTACTAACCCATCTCTGCTTTTGCAGTAAGTGGCTCCTTTCAGGAGAAAAAAGAAGGAAAAGCCATCTGTCATTTCTCAGATCACAAGATGGCAGTCCTGGGATTGCCACATCACTTTCCTGACAGAGCACCAAGAGGAAAACAGAGCTTACCAATAAGGGACTCACTTTGTCTCCTCCAGGCACTCAGAACCTTGTACTGAAGGACTTTCCCAGGAAGGACTCTGTGACCTTTAGGAAATGGAATAGGGTCCCTCTGTCAGTTACCTTTTCATTACTATGAACGACATTGGAGAGTCTAGTCCATGACTGACTGGTCCCATTTCTTTGTACCTATAATGAGGGTCCCCATCATAGTGGGAGTCCTGGCAGTGTAAAACCTCTCATCTCATGGCCAGGAAGCAACACAGAGCTAGGAGGGAGCTAGGATTCCACAACCCCCTTCAATGGCACACTCTGAATGACCTCTAATGACCTCCCACCAGGTCCCACCTATTAAAGATCCCACCATCTCCCAATAGCACCACCCTGGGGACTGAGCCTTAACACATGAGCCTTTGGGGACCATTTAAGATCCAAATTATAGCAAATATGTCCAGGAATACAGCATGGAAATTAGCATTGTGGAAATAATGCAGAACTTGAAGCAAAAGCTTAGAGTTCAAGTCACAGTTCCACTACTTTCTGTGAGTCCCGAGTCATGTAACCTTCCTCATCATTGCTGATCACCAACACTGGATAATACCTATCTTAAGGTCTAGATGTGTATACAGTCATGCATTGCTTAATGAAGGTGATGTGTTTTGAGAAGTGCATCATTAGATGATATCATCATTGTGCAAACTCACCAAAGGGTATTTACACAAACTAAGACAGCCATAATGCTACTATGAGATAAAAATCTTATAAGTCCACCACTGTACTTGCTCTCCATCTTTGATAGCATATCATTTGCAACACATGACTGTACATGAAAGTATCCTAAAACTGCAGGTGGTATAAACATTAAAAAAATCCTTCTTCACTTTACATCAGTAAAGTTTCTTCTCTTAATATATAAATTCTCAAAATCCATTTTGTTTCACTTCAATTTTTAAATGTTTTATCTGTCTTGACTCTGACCTTTAAAGCCAAACTGATGTTCTTTTAGCCCAAAACGGACAAGCCAGATGTAGATGCCCCACTCTTAACTTCTTTGTCCTTCATCTATCCTCTCTCAAAATCTCATCCCGATCTATCAGTGAGCTCCTTCTTCACAAACCCAACTTCACTCTTGCCTTTGGACTTAGCTTATTCAAAAAATACTTATTGAGTTCCTGCTGAGTGCCAGGCACTTTTCATTCACAGCGAACAAAGCCATCGACAATCGCTGTCCCCTGGAGCTCCTGTCCCATGAGACTCCTGACTATCCCAAGTTAGAATCCTGGTTTTCTCTAAAGGGCTGTCTAGATCTGGTATGATTGAGCACTTTCAGCCTCAGTTGTCAATTCCATCATCAAACAAAGGAGAATCTGAACATAAATGTCATGTCAAACTTTCAACCAGTTTAAATAAAACCCAATAAAGTATAACAGAGCATACAAATAAATAAATAACACACACACACACACACACACACACGGGCATTTCATTTCTCATAGCCTCTTTCCATGGACTCTGGTTGGCTCTCAATCTACACCAGTCAAGGCAGCCTCCGCAACTTCAGGTCTCCTCCTTAGACTGACCCACAGTCCATTGCCCTCTGAAAGTCTCCTGAATGTGTCCGTCATTTCCTGTGGAACTGTTCTTTTTCTGAAACTAGAGGATGAAGGAAGAAAAACAAAACAAAAGACCCTTTTTAAAGTAGCAATTCCAGGTAATGGAAAAACCAAATTCACCAGTGTTGTTTCTAGAAAAACCAAATTCACCAGTGTCGTTTCTAGCAGTTTGGATGCTCTATCTCTATTCATGAACAATAATTTGGGATTCAATAAAATAAGTAAATAGTTTCATTGGTGGACCAGTTTGAAAACTGACTACTAGGTGATGAATTTTCTTAGTTTGTTTTTTCAGAGTCTTTAAAATGTTTTTGGTCTGGCATAATGCTCAGTTTGTTTGTTTTTTTTTAAAGTAGTAGAATTTCAAATTAAGTAGGAGTTTAGCACTGGATCTTAAGGTCGCAACCAGCACATTACTCATAAAAGCAAAAAGATGTAAAGTTGCAGTAAAACTGTAAGTAGAAGAAATTAATAATCTGACATTCTCTAGGAAGAATTCACACCAACCAAACATACATAAAACCATGTAACAGAGGAGCAGATAAAAGGAGTTACAAGTTAAAATGGACTTATTAGCCCTTTGTATCACAGCAGACTTCTACCACAGGGACATTACACCTTTGCTACCTATAAGATGGCAGCTACTTTCCTACTATTATGAAGCCACTTTCCGAAATGGCTTTGTTTGTTTCATACTTTGGTAATCGCTATTGTTATCTACCAAATGTTTTCCTCTCTCTCTCTCTCTCTCTCTCTCTCCTCCCCTCCCTGCTTCCTAAGTTTATGACAGAATTTTACTTCCCATTCCCTTGAGATTAGTTATAACTATATAACTCACTTTGGTCATGGACAAGTGATGTGTGTCACTTCTGGATAGAAACTTTAATATCAGTACTCCTTTTGCCTCTGCTGAGTGGCCAGACATTCTCCTGATAGTAGCTGCTCCCACAGCCTGGATCCTGGCATAACTCTGCTGATCCATAATAGGCCTTTAGCAGGAATGAGAAATAAACTTATTGTGTTAAGGCCCTGAGAGTTGGGGGATGTTTGTTATTGAACAAAACCTAACCTATACTGACTTGTATTCACATACCCTAAACTAGGGTTACAAGATATTCCTCACAAAATATCAGACCTCCAGTGGATGTGAGTGTGAAAAATAACCATTTTGTGTTTTAAGAAATCAAAGTATTTACATTTTATAACATTTATATTTTTGAAACTGCTTTTTAGCATTATAATAACTATATAGAACAAGGGATGACAAAGTTTCCCATAAAGAACCAAAGAGTAAACACCTTACCCTTTCTGAATTTAATAATATTTGTTACAAGTACTCAACCCTGCTACTGCAGTATGAGCACATTGTTGAGTGTGCATGGCTGTGTTTCAATAAAACTTTATTTGCAAAACTAAATGGGGGCCACACTTGCTCCATGGGCCATGGTTTGCCAATGATACAAAGAAAGCAAAATTGACTTTGTACTGATTTCCCTTACCATTCAGCTTCATTACTAACTTACACATTGTTCATTACACTTATAAAGCTTTCTACAACTGCACTCAGAACAAGAATCAAAGCATAAGAATTAAATTATTTCAGCAATTTAGAGCTTCTATTAATTAAATACTAGCCCCACAGGGAAAGAAATGGTATAGTCAAAGAAAGAACATCATAAAGAAGATTAGAAAGGAGGTCCTTTTTCCTAAGTAAGAGTCACTAAATTTTTCTGATTCCATCCATGGTTGAATGTTTACCCAAGAAATGCATCACACACTACTGCCACAATAATGCAGTGTATAAAAATATCCAAGTGACACATTTCCCTAGGTAACCTGCACAAATATTTAGTGGTTCTTTGTGTAAATTTTTCAATTAAATAAACAATTGCTTATATAATGTGATGTAATCCTTAAGAAAAGCATTTTTTTTTAATCGGGGAATTAAACATGTTCACAAAAGAAAGATCCAATTCATTTCTTATTTTGACCAGTCACTATTATAACTAGATAAATAAGTGAGCAAAATAGAGATAGCATTCTGGAACTGTTGGCTATTGTGCTAAAATGTATTATTGACTCAGAATTCTCTCCTCCATCCTCATCCTGGCCATCGTTTTTTAGCAGAAGTCTACTTCCCTGCCCAGTTGATGTCAGGTACAGCCTTTGCTTTGTCCTGTGAAATGTTGATAGAAGAAGCAGTTTGCTGATTCAGAGCAGAGGCCTTTCAGGACCTCTCAGAAGAACCCAGCTTTCAGCCCAAAGCCAAACTGTTCCAAACCATCTGTAGATCTGAAGGTGAGGAAAATTAATGTTTGTTGTCAAAGTCTCTAAGTTCCTGGCATTGTTTGTTATGCAGTATGAATACAGTTATTATTTACTATTTTTATTAGTATCAAAAAACACTTTTCACATTGCCATATGAAAAATCATGAGTTGTAACTAAATAATTATCAGTTCAGTAAAAGATGTCTCCACTCTCATCAAGTGTGATTAAACCTAATAATTTCATGGAAAACAATTTCAAAAACTTCTAAACTTTTCTAATATTTAAAGGTGCAGCAAGTTAGTATTTTGAAGAACTAATGAATGAATGTGTCAACTATTCTTTACAGTTATTAGAATTGTTAACCTCTACGGCCTTTTCTCAGTCCAGGGCCTAGAAAAGAGACACCTGTTAATTTAGGAAGAAATGTTTCAAACTATACATTAGAAACCTTTAGAGAATTCCAAACAACTTAAGTAGATTTCTCCCAATACATTTAAATGAAAAATAGAGGGACTGGGTTTGTAGCTCCATGGTGGATCACTTGCCTTGCATGTGTGAGGCACTGGGTTCATATTTTGTACCACATAAAAATAAATAAATAAAGATATTGTATTGTCTACAACTAAAAAAATATTTTAGAAAAAGAAAAATAGAAAGCATTAGAGTGTGACACACATTGAAAGTGTAAATATTATTTTGTAAATGTATGAGAAAAACTAAGTTATGATGACAAGATCTCACAAAAAAAGTTGAGACTCTCTTAAAGGAAGTTTATTTCAGAGAGATCAGAAGTATCAAATATTTGGCTCTATTTCAACATTGAATCCTTCTTTATGATGCAATTACTACTTTACTTTCTGCATTATTCTGAAACTAAACTTACATACCATGCAAAACAGAAGGACATTTTGAAAACATGAGAAAGACCACTGCAAATATTATACTAAACAAAGCATCACTAAATTCATTTACATTAAAATCAAGACCAAAAGAGAAATATCTCCTATCAGTTTTACTTTCAATAATATTTAGAATTTATCAAATGCATTAAGGCAACATAAAGAGGAAAAACATTGAAAAATAAGATAAATATCTTTCTTTCCTTGTAGATGACATTATTGTAGTTTAATAGAAAGCAGAATTAATTTGGTAGTGGGACTAAATACAGAAAAAATATACAAAAAGTAAGACCTTTCTTCTTGATTAACAATAAAGAATTAGAAATATGAGTGAAAATATAAATAGTAATCAAAATTATAAAATACATAAAACAGATACAATTATTTTTAAAGTTATAAGAGGATCTAAGTCCAAAAGAAACTCACAAAGTACTTGTAAACATATATTCAATGAGAGAATTTATGTCCAGAAGAATTAAAGAATTCTTTCAAATCAATCAGAAAAAGATAAACAATTTTATTTTTTCCAAAAAAGGTAAGAGAATGAAATCATGCACTTCATAAAAAAGAGATCCAAATGATTGATAAGCATATGAAAAAGACCCAGTATCATTATTGATAATGAGATACACTATATACTCATTGTAATAGCTAAAATTTTAATAAATGACAACACTAAGTTGGCAAGAATACAGAATAAATGTAACTCTCACAATGATGGCAATAGTGTCCATTGGAACTGGTCCACTGGTAAATTCTTTGGTGTTTTCTATTAGAGTTGAACATATGCATACACTGCAGCCTAGCAATGTTATTCCTGGCATATGCTCAATGGAAAGGTATACCTGATAAGAGATATGTATAAGGATGGTTTGGTATCATTCATAGTAGTCTAAACTGAAAACAATTCAGATATCCATCAAAAGTAGAATGCACAAGTGGAAATTCAAAATGGCTTAGCAATTATGGAAAATGACATGGCACTTTCTCAAAAAAATAAACATAGGATTACCGGATGATCCAGCAATTCCAGCTCTGGGTACATACCCAAAGGAATGAAAAGCAAGAGAGTACTGGGCCTTAACTAAAGTTAAAGTCATTCTGACGTGTAGTAAGATGGGAGGCAGAGCCTTATTTCAAGTAAGGCGGGGCTCTTTTTAAATCTTAGGTAAAGTGTTCTAGTATTAAGCTGACTGTTTCTTAAATATCATTTTATAAAGTTTATATATATTGTTGCTCGAGGTCACATGAATATTTGCTAACACAATATGATATTACATTTAAATTGTACCCAGTGTACAGAACTTTATATTAATCTTATTGATAATAGGTCCAGCTATAGAACATTAAATATTATAAATAAATCTCCAATATGTTATTCTTATAAGCTTAAAATTACCATGAAACCTTTTGGAGAACATCAGCTTGATATAATTCTCTTTTAAAGCTTCTATCTTAAAGACTTATATACCTGGAAAATATAAACACATTTAATATACAAAGAAGAGTAATAGCATCACAATTACATTGATGTTTTTATATTAATCAAGTTTAGCTCTTAAAGAAGTAACATTATAATATTGCAAAATAACAGGTGTTGTTAACCACAGTTGTATAATCCTTAATTCCTTCAAGATTACTTGCTCAAAAAACTTACTTTTTATAACCAACTTACACAGACCTTCTTTATCACTTACTTAAACCCTTTTATTTACTTAATCATATAGATTCTCTTATCCAGAAACACTTTTTTCCCCTTCTACTAAATATTGTTTCCATACCTAGAACCTTCTAATTTCTCTTTCCATCTGTTAACCCCTTCTTTATTCACATTTTAAAACAATCCTTGTAAATTTCTGAATTTAGGCAAATTATTCCATTTTAATAAGAAATATTTTGTTATTTACAGTACACAGTTAATCACATCTGTTTACCATTTCATGAAAACATAAACAATGTTTAAGTATATAGAATTATACTGTTGTAGGGACAGAGGAGGCAAGGCCCTAAAGATAGCAGGAAACAGTTTTATTTGGCTGCAGCCAGGTTCAGAGGGCACAGCTTTTGCTGTGATCAATCAACCCCCTGAACCCTGAGTTTGGGTAGTTTCAGAGTTTTACAGCCAGTATGTAAGAGGAGGGGCTCAGAAGTTCACAGTCTGCAGAAGTTCAAATAAAAGCAGTTTCGTTTTGTTTTTGTTTCTTTTCTTTCACTGTTCTGGGCAAGTTAACCCTTCAAGGACAACACCTGAGAAGGGGAGAGCTTCTTCTCCCCTTTCTTTCCTCCCCCTGCCAGCAGTCACCATGGAGCCCAGTTGGTAACTTCTCCTATCTTAGAAATGTAGACATTTCTGTGAAGCCCAGCTCAAGGCCAGAGGCCTTGTTTACACATTTCTACAAACTACTATACTGAATAAATGTTTGTGAAAAACTAGTAAGGGGTGTCTAGCATCTGGAGTGCTGATTTTTTCTAGACAGTAAAAAAGGGCAACATGAAAAGAGGAAGTTTACCTACATTGAACTTTTTTGTAGAGACTCTTTTGCTGACAGTCCTAAAATCAGCCATGGTGAAGCTTTCTGAAGAAGGCCAGTTAAGACTTTTCTGTGGGCCTGGGTGGGGAGGGGGAAGATGAGCAGGTGGGTCTGAGAGCAGCTCAGGTGGATCTGAGAATGAAGAAGGAGATATAACAGAATAATGGGAAATGGGTTTGGGATTTTCCCTAACAAGGAAAACTTGAGCAATAGAACAGGTAGAGCTGGGGTTTCTGGGTCTAAATTAGTGTATTGTAGGAGAGCCTTAGTTAGGCAGTCCAGAAAGACTGATGGGTTTTCATTTTTATCTTGGATGATCTCCTGAAGTTTTTCAAAGTTAACTGCTTTCTGGGCTCCCCTTTTTAGGCCCGCTATAAGTGGTGAAATGATGTCTGTTTGTAATACCATTGTTGGTGTTGTAATCCCAGACGGGATCTTGGCCTGGGACTCCTTGGGGCCCAATGGGACATGCTGGATTGGTCTGATGGATCTCATCTGCATGAGTGTGAGCTTGTTCAAAAACCCACGTAGGAGCAGAGATGGAGGTTGTTGAGGTGGAGGTGACAGTGAAGGGATTGGGGCAGAAAGCTGATGGTTAGGACCTATTTGAGCCAGGCAATAGAGTGGAGGTTCATCATCAGGGTCAAAAGTAGCAGATGAATCCTGAGGAGAAGGTTGAGGGGTCAGTGGTTGGGGGGGTTGGTTTGCAAGCTAGAAGAATGTGTAGAGGTTTTCAAGAGGTGCAGAGAGCAGGATTGGATCAGAGCAAGAAGAAAGCTTGGATATAGGGGATGTTTACCCATTTTTTCAAATGCTCACAGTAGTTGTAAAGATCCCTTAGAATAGAGAGATCTAAAGACCCAAATGAGGGCCATTTGCTTTAATTGTTTAGGGGATAAGTGGGTCAATCCTGGGTGCTATATTTGATCAATTTGGGGGGTTTGATGTCCAGTGTCAAGGAGAGGGTCTTGAGGTTGTCTAAAAGGAATTGTAAGGGAGAGTCAGCCAGCATAGAGGATATATTACACATGTTGTACTACACATATGGGGAGGAGAGGGAGCTAATTTATTGGCAAAAGGGGTGTCCCCACTAGAGCCAAAAATCAGACAGTGCCCAGTGGCAGGTTCGAGCTGCAGAGAGATCGGTCATCACCAGTTTCTGACAGTCGAGGCTCCCATCCTGGATGGGGCCGGGGCCATGGGAGACCTTGGCCAAGGCTTTTCAGGACCCCTCCTCGGGGGCTGGTGACTCCCATGGCTGGAGAAGGGAGAGTGGAAGGGGAGGGTAAGCGTATTTCTATCAGCTGAGTCTTAAAGATGAGAGGACTTTATGAGGGCCACCGTGACCGTGAGGGTCTGGGTGGGGTGTGATCCTCCCTCTGGGGGCACCACAGAGGCTGCCAGATGATCAACAGTTAGTTCTCTGTTATGCGTTCCAGGGAAAGGAAAGTAATTTTGGACCACAGAGTCGAATATGTGAGAGGCGGGAGTCCCTGAGGACCACCATGGCCGTGAAGGCTGTGGTGGGGTGTTTTCCTCCCCACAGGTGGGTGAAGAGGTTTGCCAGATGATCAACAGTCAAATCCTCCCAATCCTCCCTAGTCCACCATGGGGTTTAGGACTCCAGAAAGACCAGTGGTGGATGCAGTTCAATAAAATGGGTTCAGGTCATCTGGTGATTGGCACTTCTGAAGGAAGAGGGACCCAAAAGGTGGGTTTCACCCTCTTCCTGGGTTTCAGCACCAAATGAAAGTAAAGTGACCACGACACTCAGAGCAACCAAGAGATCTTTATTGCGTCAGTGTCTAATCGACCAGAGGAAAAAGAGGAGAGAGAGAGAGAGAGAGAACAGGGAAAGGGGGGAGAGAGAGAAAGCACACAAAGTGAGAGAGAGAGAGAGAGAGCCTGGCAGAAGAAGGTTTTTATAGCCCTCTGCTGTGGCTGTGCTGCCTAAATCTAATAGGGTCTCTGGGTCTGCAAGCTGCCTTGTTGGCATAAGGGGGGTTAAGTGTTCAGCCTTGAGTAGGGGGTTGTTGAGTGTTCAGCCTTGAACAGGAGTTTGAGCATTCAGCCTTGAGGCAAACAAGTGATAAAGAACCAGAAGGATGGGGGTTGAGTGTCCAAGCTACCCTGCAGCTAACATTTGTTCAGCCAGCCCTGCAGCTAACAGGTGGGACCCTGTGAGGCTGGGGGGGGGCGCGCAGAGCCAAAGGACAGTCAGAGTAGGTAATAAATGATGATTGAATCAGATCAGGAAGATGGGGGATGATTCAAAAGGAAAGGAAATAAAATGCTAATACCTCTAGAGCCCTCTCCCTCCTCTTCAACCTGTTGCCAAGGTTATCTGGCTCCAGGGAATTATTCTCTCAAGCTGCTAATGAATGCCTCCTGAGTGCTCCCTTCCTGCCAACAGCTTCCTTCTCACCCTTGGATCACTCCACCTTTTGGCCCACCTTTTGATCACTAGTCTCCAATCAAGATAAGAGAAGGAAGAGGCATGAGAACAAAAATTCTGAAATGTATAAAAGGAGTAGAACACTCCCCACTCCCTCAGACACCCAGCTCTGGGGGTCCCTTCTCTTCAGAGAAGTCTATCTCTGTTCTATACTTTTAATACAACTCGGTTTTTAGCTCACTTCAGTGTTTCTCGGGTGTTCAATCTTCACATAGGCAAACAGCACTCAGCCCTGATTCTCATCATTGGTATAACCTGGAGCTGGGCAGCAGGGGCAGCAGCGGCTGGGCAGCCCAGCCCTGCCAAAGCCCTCCTGAGCCACAGCGTGGATATGGCCAGGTCCCCATCAGAGGAACAACCACAATCCCGAAGGCAAGGTGGATTCACATTAAAAGTTATTAAAGAAACCCAGAGGGATCCACAAAATTGTGCACCAACCTCTCCCTGGAAAAGCTGAAATGAAGCCCCACACCAGCATAGGAAAGGTGCAGCCTTCACGTTGCAAAGAAACACTATCAGAGGAGCCGAAGGAAGAAACCAAAGAATTATCTGCAGAGAGTAGAAAACAAAAAGCATGTAGGCTTGGGTGAGACAGGAAAGAAAGAACCCAAATATAAGGAGGGACAGTATCAACGCTAAGTTCTTAAGGTCCTCACATCTCCCAGATTGCTCAACTGCTTTTGAAAAGGCAAGTTTCTATAAGCTCTATAAATAGTTGTTAAGCATGAACAATACTCAATTCATCCAATTTTGTTTAGTTTTGTTTAACATGTTTAGATAAATGTAAATGCCTTTTCTTAAAAGGTAAAATCCAGTTCTGTTGGGTTTTTTGTTTGTGGTTTTGTTCTGTTTAATTGTTGCTTTTTTTGTTCCATTTTTGTTTTGTTTTTTGTTTTGTGCACAACCAGGAACTAGAGGCATATTGAAATTAAGGAAGGCCCTTAAGGAAGGCTCCAGTTTAGCCTTCATAGGCTGCGGCATACCCATACTTCAATGCTATCTCAAGTCCTGATCATGTTCTTAGCATGCCTCAAACATTTTAATCACTAAGTTCCTATACCCCTATTGCTCATGGGTAGAACAGTTTCTAAAAAGAGCTGCTAACCTTGGTTGTCCTGGTCAGGACTGAGAGCTTCCTGTGATATATTTGGTGGCAATTGTTCAGCTTGTCCTACAACTTTGCTAATATGCTGTGAAAGCCTAAATTTTAAAAATATGCTGAAAGTATAATATTAAATCTTGAATTAGTGTAATTTTAGACCTAACAATGTATCCGTATTTCATCATATTAAGATTTGATATCCTCTTTTTTATGCACAATTTGCTCCAAATTTTAACTGAAGTGACGGATAATTTTAGAAAAGAATTGAACTATTTTTTAAGATTATTGGTACTTGCATAACAAGTTTGCATAGATTACTCATACTATCTGTGAACAGATCAAACAAAAATAATAAAATATTAATTATAAAAAAAGATACATATTGGGGCTGGCATTGTGGATCAGAGGCAGAACGTTCGCTCACCTAGCATGCATGAGGCACTGGGTTTGATCCTCAGCACCATATAAAATAAAATAAAGATATGGTGTCCACCTATAACTAAAAAATAAATATTGGGGAAAAAATATACATATTGACTGAAACATACATTTTCACATGGGAACTGTTGTCTTCCAACTGCTTGAGCATACATGAACTCCATCACTTCAAATTGAGTGGTATGTTTTGTTGATACTACATACATTGAGTTGTTACTTAAATGTCTTTCCAAATATTTCACTAAGACGGGCATTGAAACAAAATCATGTATTGTTCACAGAAAGACACCAGAACAGCTGAGCACAAATTTAACACTACTGAAGGAAATCATCTGCATCAGAAGAATGACAATTCCAAGTTTTCTTCAGAATAAACGACCAAGTGTTCAATGGAATCCAAGAAGTAAGATATCTATAAGTCGTTGAAAATAAAAAAAATACAAAACGATTGCCTTCCCGTGCCACACAATGCAACTGCAGGGTGGATGCTGGGGTTTGGGTGTGATCTGAGTGTGCCCATGTGTTAGAAGCTTGGTCCCCAACTCTGGAGTGTTGAGAGATGAGAGGATCTTTAAGAGGTAGGGCTAGTGGGAGGGATTCTGGGGAATCACTCTGGGAAGAGATAGGCAGGATTTGCAGAATGACAGTTAGTTCTAAGAGAGTGAGTTGTAGTAAAAGAACAAGTCTGCCCCCTACCCCTCTCTGGCTTGCTGCCTCACCATGTGCCCCCCCCCTTCTCTCTCTCTCTCTCTCTCTCTCTCTCTCTCTCTCTCTCTCTCTCTCTCGCACATGCTCCCACCACTGTGATGCATCCACCATGAGGGCCTCACCAGGGCAGACCAAGGCCAACACCATCTCCTTGAACTTCCAAAACTATCTCTTTTCCTTATTAAGAACCTAGTTTCAGGTATTTATTTCAGTAAAGTAGGGGAAAACAGATTAATGCAGTGGAGAAAATAATGAACCTCAAGATACATAAAGGAAACTTCAGAGCATCAAGAAACTCATTATAAGGACAGATGCACCACATAGGACTGTCAGCAAGGCGTTGGGCTGTAATGTAACTGACAGCTGCTTTTTTTTCTTTCCTTGTCTTCCTTACTTACTTCCTCCCTCCCTCCCTCCATCCCTTCCTTC